GTGGTCGAGTGGTTAACGTGTCAAGTTTCCATTCTGCACTGTCACGGTTCGGCTTTTTGATAAGACCGATACGAGGTCGAAACTGCAGTCCACCCTGGATTATAGCACCTTTTGGAAAAACAAGGTTTTGTAAAATTCATTGGGAAACATCAGCTTTATTCATATCATTGTGAGAAAATTCAAATATCAGTCCCTCATCGCCTTAAACTAAATAGGGTAATTACATCTCATATTAGTGATTTATTGGTAGTCTCAAAAGTCAACTTATATACGAAAAATATATTAAGTCGGTCATTTTTAATAATGTGTTTTAACCGTCATCTTTTCTTTAACATTAATGACGGTTCTGAAACAAGGTCAGTCGTGGCAATGTGGCCGACTGGTTAACGTATCAAGCTCACATGCTGCACTGTCAAGTGTTCGACTACTGCTGGTCGTATTGATAAGACCTATGCGAGGTTGAAAATGCAGTCCACCCTGGATAAGAACAACTTTTGGAAAAGCAAGGCCATGTGAAATTCAATTGAAACTTCATCTCGACTCATATAATTATTGGAAAATTCTACTACCGATCGTTCATCACATTAAATAAAATAGGATAAATAGACCTCATATAATAATTTATATTAATCGAATTTGAATTTATCGGAAGTCTTGTATATAGCTTTAGTTTAGAATAAAAACTATTATATTTTGGCTGAATACCGATATTATGATATTAAGGTTTATTAAATCGGTCATTTTTATTAATTTGTTTTAGGCATCATCTTTTCTTTAACATTAATGCAAGTTCAGAAACGTTTTAACTAGATATTTGCTTCTTTCCAAATATCCAGTCATTGTCAGTTAGATAACTTATGATATGCAAAGTGCACTGTAAGTTAAAACATTAACTTCATTCCTTTGACGCTATAACTTTTACGATCCATTCGAAAAATCTTAAAGCTCGTCGATCTTCATAGATTATAACTATGACGTAGGTAGGCACGAAGAGAAACTGTGTTTCGATGAATCTCCTGAGATAAAATTGTTAGGGGGACCTTCATTTCGTATGAAAGTCCATGAAGAAGAGATTCGTTGGTCGATCTCACCAGATGAGAACGAATGAAACTCGTTGGACTGCAGCCGGTTGGATTTTATACGATATTCATGTTGACGCAGTCCACGGGACTTCCTTCCTCGTTTCGGGTGAAAACGTGCTGAGATTTCGTTCATCATGACGTTTGACTTTTACAAGAATGACGCCCAGCTCTGATGTCCGTAATCTGACGGACGAAAGCTCAGCACTTTTTCACCCGAAACGAGGGAGGAAGTCCCATGGACTGCGTCAACATGAATATCGTATAAAATCCAACCGGCTGGAGAACGAGTTTCATCCGTCCTAATCTGGTGAGATGGACCAGCAAATCTCTTGTTCATGCACTTTCACACGAAATGAAGGCCTAACTATGACGTAGGTAATTTGAAACTGGCGCTCAGCTTCACGGTTTGATTTATTTTAAAGGGAGTAAGAAGTATCTGAATAGAAGCCTCTTGGCTTTTATTACGTATTTTGGCTAACCTTATGTTTAATGTGAATTATAATGGTTTGTTCCAAACCAACATTAAAATGCAAACATGAGGAATTTTAATTAATTTATTGGGATCCGATTGTACAATATATCATTCTCCTCTATACTTTAGTGTAGCATTAGTAACCTCAAATATTGTACCCAACATTTCAATCCTTCGTCCCTCCTTCTGCGGCCCGGCCTGTGGAAACTGAGATCTAATCCTAGCAAGTACATATGCTTCTTATAACGCCCCTACCGCTATCTCTGACAAATTTGATACATACCATCGCACTTCAATATTCCTTCTTATTTTGGATATTTAGAATGCAAATTGTCGGGCCTCAGACAATTATGGCATCCGTTAATTACTATATTTCCAGCCATCACTGATTTTTTTTACCGATAAGCATATGCGCGCGATCTGAACTATAACTTTTTAGGTATGGGTGGACAAGTCTCCTCCCCATAGGCGCTGCAACATGGGTATAAAACATAGCAAACTGACTTGCAATGGTCATAATGCTATCTAACACAAATTATGATTCAAGAAAGCTAGTTTTACCTGACGCTCAAGTGCTTAAGTAGTTAGCCTATCTTTTGAAAAGCGGCGAGACGGAGCACCGGGAGAGCGGATAAAGCGTTTAGCAGTTTGTGTTTTTATCCAGATTCTTGTCCACTCATCCTATTCACTGGATCATGTGCCTATCAGAGTATTAATGTACATTTCCACGACTATGTGATCAACTAAGACATGTCTCAGGAATTTGGCAGTTCTCAATTGTCAATTGAGAAAACTAGTGCAGGGCAACCTTGTAATTTTTCGTGTAACATCGGTGTGCGGTAATTATGAATTTTGGTTCTGACCAATTCGCATCGTCTAAAGCAAAAAGCGCAGTTAAGATGTACCCCTTATTAATAAAACAGATAAAGATTTTTTAAATCAACAGATCAACTGGATGCTTCACTAAAAATGATGCGTAGTTCCACCTGCAGATCCTAGGTAATGAGCACTGTCACGCCAGGAATTCGTTGCCGATGCACTCGAGTAAACTTGATTGCCAGACCAGGATCCTCTTAGAGCACCACCTGTGATAGAAAAATAATAAGCGAAAGGTACAAAATATTTATCAGATCAAGAATAAAATTACCTTCTCTATGACCGTAATCAACGACATTTGTCCAAGCTGAATTATGTAGCTGGGACGCAGGACTACGGTCCCTAGAACGATGATTGCGTCGGTCATATGCAGTAGACGATTGATATGGTCTATGAGCGCTTAGAGAAGTATCTCCATTACGCTGATTTACATTTGGGTAATACGTCGAGAGTCTGCTATCATTCATACTTCTACCGCGAGTTGACCCTCTACTTGATACGTAGCGATCAGAACTATTGTAAGCACCAGTAGCACCACGGCGATATTTATTAATGAACCGTTGAGGACTGTTAAAAAAAAGAAAGATAAATATCAAGGCAAAGCCTCTTAAGAAAAGAAAGGAATGACTTACGAGCGCCGGCGTTCAACCCTTTCACCAACAGTGTCTCTGCGCAGTGAATTTAACTCGGGCTTCGTCTCATACCTTTGATAGTCTTCGACCTTCCTGGATTCTGATCCACGATCATAAGCGGGACTTTTTCTGGTAGCCGGAACAGATCTCTGATAGGATGAGGAGCGTCGCGACGTAACAGGGGGTAACGGAGATTGCTGCACTGTTCGATGTGAATAAGTTGATCCCGGAGCATAGCGATCCCTCCGGATAGGTGGCCGTGCGTCTTGTCGTGAACTGTACCGATTGTGATTAAAATGTAAGGCAGACACAGTTTCGGGAGGACGTGCTTTTGTGTTAGCACGAAGCTCAGAATAGATTCGACCACTAGAGGTTCCAGATTTAGTTTCCCACGTTCGAAATCTGAAATCGTCTCTGTTGATAAGTTGAGGTCGACGGAAGTGGGATGACATCATAGGACTTGAACTTTTAACTGGAATTCGCGAGGAATGTGATTCGAATCTACGAGAGCGATCATCATATCGAGGACGAATAGCCGTCTTCGAAAAGCTCTGCTGATACCCGGGGCGAGTTGAGACAAAAGTCCTTGAGGTAACAGGAGCAAGATAGGGTCTGGAACTAAAAAAGGATCGATGCATCTTGGATCGGATTTCGTTGACGCGATTCCGTAGGTTTGCACGAAACGACGATACGGGAAGACGTTCACTGAAGGAGGAAGACAGATGAGTAACCTCAGTGTGATAAAAGATATCCAAAGTCAGGAAATCCTATTCTCTTAAAACCAAAATTTCTCATGAGGTATTCTAGGTGATCAACTAATCACAGTAAAAATTCCATTTTCCTATCAAATTCAAGCTCGACAAGAGAAATTAGCGATCCTACTACTCTTTGATTTAGATGAGCCTGCATCCACAAGTGACTGCTAATGTGGAGATGTATATGATAATCGGATCAGTGAGTGAAATCCTTCGATTGCTTCATAGCGAACAACTCTCGCGGTCCACAATATATTCTTCTGTAGAGGTCCATCCAAGCAGTCACCTTGTTCTGACCCTGAGCAACAAATGAGTGCCTTTAAATCGAAGTCATAAAGCGATTTAGCCTTGTTTGAGGGAGCATGCATGTCTTTTGGAGATTAAGTTACTTGGAAACAAAGAAGCTAGGCGCACCTGTTTTGTCCAGATTTATCTTGAAGTCTTTCTCGAAATCCAAAATTCTTTCGCAGAGATCGGTGCAAATCATATGGGCGGGTCCTTTCACGATATGAAATAGCGGTTTCCTGAATGAAGAGTTAACAAAAAGTTAAAATGCGGTCAGCAAGCGGGTTATTTTCCAAATGCAAGGAACACGGCAGTGTCCACGTGATCAGGCTCACACTTGGTAGGAAAGATGGAGCAAAACTTCTTTAGAAAGCTAAATATTCATTATATAACTGCCATGAATGCTGTCTCCGGAAAGTTCTTTCCAAGGTTCCTCATTCACAGCAAATTTGCAACAAAACTTCGACTCACTCTTGCGCGCAATACAGCTGCAGCTCGCGCACGTTTAGCCATTGCAACAACCTGAGCAGCTCTTCTCACAGGATAAGCATATGAAAGCCTAGATGGTTTCCATTCCGTAACACGAGCCCTCGGGACGAATCGACTTTTGGCTGATTCTCTATTTTCAATGATCCTCGGAACCAAGGCACGTCTCACATCGAAATCAGCTATATGAGTGATTAGTTAAATTTACACCGCACAAGCCAAGATCAACATACCTCCCCGGATCTGCTCCACGCGCGAAAATGGTCGAAAAGAACGTCTTGAACGCGAAGCAAGAAGAGGCTTCGTTTCCTTCTTAGATGATCTTGCTGGCAAATCTTTCTTTGTTGCCTCTACCTTTAGTTCCGTTCCATTGAATTGTGCTCCATTAAGTTTAGCAATACAACAATTAGCATCATCAATGGTAGCCATCTTCAATAAACCAAAGCATCCGCGTGGCGTCCTGGTGTTCATCACTACGGTTGCAGTAACAACCTAGCGATAGGTAATCAGGTTGATATCAAACTGACCTTTCCATATTTGCTGAAAAGTGCCTTAAGATCAACGGCTTTAGTCGTCTTAGGAATGTTGCTAATCCAGAGATTCTTAAACTCATCTGAAGTTATTCAAGATTATAGGGTGAGAATGCACCTACTGTTATATTGGGAAGGAGACTTTTTGCTAAAAAGGTTAAAATTGATTTAGTCTCGTTTTCAATGCACCTGACTCTACATCGGTGAGAAACACAAACCTTTCTTTGGTGGATTCATCCACATCATCTCTTTCAGGTTCATTGTGCCGATTCCTATCCTGGTTTGTTCTGTTGGATTTCTCACTTTTCAAGTCATAATCAAAGTCTTCGTCTGCATCCTCAACCTCAACAACAAAAGGAAGAGGCTCGTCAACTTTGAGTTGATCTGGAGGTCCAACTTGTTCACACTTCAAAGGTGCAGTCGCACATAGCTCGCCTAGCGTAGGAGAGACATCCAGATCTATTTTTGGGGATCCTTAATCCATGTTGCGGGAGAATTCAGTTTGCGTTATGATCACCATTTTTATTAGCATAATTAAAACGCACAGAAAGGATATTTAACCGAATTACTATGTATAACTAGGCAACCAGAAAAAATTCGAACATTTACAAACTGATGTAGGAAGAGAGTAAAGAAAAAGTAGGAAAAAGATAGACCTACCTTCAGAAACTTCTTCATCTCCCTAAGATAAATTATAAAACAAGGTATGACTCACTGTAGTTTGATAGGCAGATAAAGCGGAGGAATCAGGAAACTTGAAAGTAAGGGGATCCAGACCCTCCTCGATCAAGGCCTATAAACGATGATATAGAAATGACAGAACCTGTTTAAGTCTATCGAGAAGAACATGCCGCACTCCTGACTTGTCTTTATTACGGACTTGCAGTTGCCTTCGCAGCTCAGTGACCTTAAGATCGACGATAAGCTTGCCCTCCATTGAGAAAACAGAAAGCTGATGCAATGATAAACAAAATAAGGAAAAATAAAAAAAAGATAACTCTTATACATATAAATAAAATATTATAAGAGTAAAATAATATTTTTAAATACTGTTACATATTTTTATTTTTATAAATTTATGAGTTTATGTTAGTTTATTTTTGCTGTTTTTTATTTGCATGCATTTATGTGTATTATTATCTTGACGGCTGTGCGCAACCCGACCTCTGGGACACCAGTTATCGAGGGCTGTAACAGGCGCGTTGATAAAATGAACAGACAGGTTATATACTTTAACATATAATAAATTATTAGGAAGATACACTTAAAATCCTTTCATGTAATTCTTATTCACTCAAGGTTGAAGAATCAAGACGAATCATTGGGAGCTCAAGTCAATCAAAGAACAGAAAACCGTGCAATTGCACGAAATCACACTGTCTAAAATTGTATTGTGAGTGTTTTTCGCAAGGCATAACATGCGCTAATTGCAATTGCAATAATTGCCTGAATAATGTTAACCATGAAGATGACAGAAGAAGGGCTATCAAATCAATATTAGAAAGGAACCCAATGGCTTTTCATTCTAAGATAGGTTTGTTTTATCATACCTATATACCATCGTAGTAATAGGTGATCGAAAGCATTCTAAGGGCTGCAATTGTAAAAGATCAGGTTGCTTGAAAAATTATTGTGAATGTTTCGAGGTGATTTTATTTCTATACGTGTATTTCTTTAGGCTAAAATTAATTGTTCAGATAGATGTAGATGTAAGGACTGCCAAAACTGTGAAGGAAGTGAGAGAAGGGCTTTGATGTCAGCAAAGAAGCTTAAAGAACTAGACAAGAAGTATAATTATGTTCAATAATTTTAGGCCTGGATCACTTCTGTATTACTCAGACCTTAGCCATCCTTATAGTGATACATGTTTGAGGTTTCGATATATGCCCTACTTTCATCTTGATTCTGCCCGTTGTGATTGCTGTAATAGTTTATTTATTACACGTCAAACGACAGAGGATGTTTGCAATTGCTTAATTTCTCAACTTATACACCCACCTCATCAAGTTTTGGATTGCGAATCATTGGAGCGTAGAGTTCTTGAAGAATTTGGTCGCTGTTTATCGAAATTTGTAGATACATACTCTAAGGTTTGTTATAATGTGTTAAAATATATCCTTAGAGGATTTTTATTTGAATCTAATATTTTAGTATAATCAGCTTGATTATTAGTATAAATAAAATCTTTCTATAGCTTTTTATAGGAAATTAGCTAAAATTAAATCATTATAATTGGTTTTATTTATGCATTATGCTATTGTGGATGAATCAGCAATGCCTACACGGCTGTAATGAATTATCAACTTACCAACTTTGCCCGAATGAAGAAAAGTGTCCGGTGAGGACCATGAAACTAGGAGATAACCGTAAAATTAGTCCGAATAATCTAGCTTTCGGTGAACAAAGCCAAGATCAAATACTTATGTATCACTTGACACACGAATCTCAAGCAAGTGCTGATGAAAAATCTGGAAGTACCACTGAGTTAATCGATACATTTTGTGCAGAGATTCGTCAAAACTTCTGGCCTATTACCAGCAATACAGGATCGGCATTTCATACTTCTGAGGCTGAAATTGAAAATGATGTCAAGATTCCTAGCACTCTTTCAGAATGTGTTTATACGACAGCCCAAGTTACTCCGGAACTTCGCGGAAATGGAGATTGTTGTGCAACTTTTAAGAACAACCTTTTTGACAATCAAAAACCGGAAAGAGTAAGAAACTTTGAAAATCATCATGGTTTTATCATCCTTCATAAAGAATCTTTGCACTAGGCATTACATTATTTTGTTATTTGGCCTGAACTAAACATATGCAGAAGCTTGCCTTAGGTTAGCTTTATAAAAACCAAGTTACCCTTGTATATATGAACAATAAGTTTCTGCAAGAACCATATTATAATAAAAAAATTTCAGCGTCATTTTGATTAATAATAGTTTAAAAGTAGATAGTCAGTATGTAAATAAATGAAAGCTTTGATTATAACAGCAACAGAGATGTGTCCTCATGAGCGGATTTATTCAAACATATTCACATTCACAGCTGGTCTTCATATCTCCCGCCACTGTGATGGAAGTATTGATCCAAGTCTGCCGTTGAGTCCGCAACCCTCTTCCTCCAGATGTTGTCAGAGTCTTCCTCTTTCACCATAAGATCTATCTCTAATATCTCAGGTTCATTGATTTCACACGATCGCTGCCACCATATCAGGATAAGTTGGTTAGAGGGAATTCATGTGGTATCACCGGAAACCGTGGTAGGATTGTCGTGCAGGGAAAAAGTCCTCGGCTCACTGTCCTGCGAGCACGATGAACCTGTGCTAAGCTTTTATCTATACTGTGACAGACATAATCACGGTAAGAATCCATGCTTTACGAAATAAAGCAAAAATATACCAAACGAAGTAGAAAGGTGGCCTGCTGCAACAAGTCGCTTTTTTATACACCTAACTTCACGATCTTAATTAGACATCCCATAAGTTGGTTGGCTACCTCAAACTTTCTCTACATACTTCCAGATGAGTGAAGTCACTTCACGAACCGGAAGTGCGTCTGATGGATGCTATTTGCTTATACAAAGAAACTAGGGTACGATCCTCTAATGTTTATTCATATAATCGAAGGATTATGGAAGCGATATAAATAAACAAAACAGTCAATACCCCGAATAGAAGAAATGAGTGTAAGAAGTTAAGTGGAAACTACTCTTGGCTGTTGGATAGGATTAGAAAGAGAGAGAGGAGCACCGAGAAGTACCATTGAGGAAGAGGAAGAGGCTTGGTTAGGCTCGAATCTGGTATAAATTCTCGCATCACACTCATTTTAAGAGTAATGCATTCACACAATATATCTGCAATAGAACGAAGTCACATGTGGTAATATTACAGGATCAAGGGCATAAGTGTTTTAGGGGGGATTTCAACTGTTCTGTCACAAATACATCCGTTTCACGTTTAATCTTCAGCCACTTTACATTTCATCTGCAGCAACTTAACTCTTGAGCAAACATTTGGTAAAGCATTTGATGCCCAACCAAAACATGAGATGCCTAAGTAAGTGGACTAAATTGGTCTATATGAAGTAGGTATGTTTGAAGCCGGCCATCTTCCTTGCTCTCCTATTTTTGGGGAATTATCGTTAAATATGTTGTCCTGCTCTGATGATGTCTTTCACATGACGGAAGAAAGCTCAACAAGAATTCATCGGGGTCACAAGGCGGTGTGCCGAGGACCTATTCGCTCAAATCTACAATCACAGTTCTAAAGTAATTCCCCTACAGCTTTCGTTTGAACCAACACACGAATCCTTTCCACTCGCATCTTCAAAATATATTTATTAAAGGATCCTTCGAAACCCACTTTCTACATATCTTTTCCTTGTTGGTAAACAGCAAATTAATCTTTCACACAACGAACCAATAACTAGGCAACTAGGACTGCCTCTTAAAAAGTACGAACTTCTAATTGGGTCACGTAGTTATAAGCTAAAATAGGGGCTAAACAAGATCACATAGTCAAGCCCCTTGTTTGTTCATGTAAGTTAACATTTAAGGTAAAATATGTATTATAGA